TATATAAATTATCCCTCAACTAAGTTTTTTTTTTTCTTTTTAACCAAGATTTATCATTTTCTTAAAATTGTAGATATGTAAATTTAATGGCTAAAAATATTTGAATGATCCAACAAAAACAACATAATAAGTACTTATAAATTTATAAGTATTTATTATGCTATTTTGTTGGATCGTTATTCTTTATAAGTATTTACTAGTCAGTACCCGTGCAAAGCACGGGAACAATATTAAATTAACAATATTATAAATAGATCTCGAGTTTGAGTCACTGACGGAAGTGAAAACTACTATTGATCCTATTTAAAAAGAGGAAGAAAAATATAATAATTATAAATTAAAGAGGAAGATAAACAATACTTAATAATAATAAATTAAAGATTCGGGATCAAACAATGTAAAACTATTTTGTATAAGAAAATATGAAATTTACATTATATTGTATAAGAGAATATAAAATTTGTATGTTTAATATTAAAAACACCTAAAATATTATATTAGTATATATGTAAAAGTATTCAAAATTTTCTATATTATTTTTGAAAGATGTGAAGTCACCTACAACTTTTCTAAACAATTTTAGAAGGAAAACATATCTAAGAACATTTGAATTTAACATTGTGTAAAAGAGATTTTTCTAGACTATTTTGTAAAGAAAAAATATCTACAAATATTTAAATTTAATATGTGTATATGTACATATATTTATATGCGTATGTTCTGTATAGTTTTTTAGAGATAATAATTCAACACGTATATTTGTTTTAGGAAATGAATAACAATCTTAATATCAGTTTTGAATATTGATAAGGTGTATGAAATATCTTCTCCTTATAATACGGATTTTATTTTTGAATCTTAAAATTATCCCAAATATCTTCTTTCTTGTAATACGATTTTTTTTCTTCAATTTATTGTTAAAAAATATGTTTAAAGGGCGTGTGAAATGGGATTATTTCGTTACCATAAAAAATTAATAGTATGTGATAAGGATGCTCGTGTGAAATGGGATTATGTCGTTACCATAAAAAATTATGCGATAAGGACGCTATTAATGAGGCGTGTGAATTGGGGTTATTTCATGAGAATTAAATCGGTATAATTAATGAGTTTAAAAGGCGTGTGAAAAAGACATAAATGCTGCGTGTGAAATGGACATAAGAGTTACCGATTTTGGAAAGTAATAAATGCAAAATTGACTTTGACCATTAATTAAGTTACTAATTTTGATAAATGTTAATTCTCATTATATAAGTATAGATTATGCTGTTTTTGTTGGATCATTATTCTTTAAAAAGCTTTAATGTATTAGAATTATTAAAGATGATTACGATCATTAATATTATACTTAAAATAAGGATGTTTTCAAAACAGCAATTCTATATCTTTTCAAAGCTTCATTGTTTGGGTTGATATTGGATTGATTTTTTTAGAGATATGGAAGAAAGCTATTTTGGGAGATATGTGGAAGAAAAAAAAATTGTGAAGCATAATGGTGCGAGAATATTGTGTTTGATTTTTAGGAGATGTTGAATATTGTTTTGTTCGTGTATTTGTATTTAATTAATTAAATATTAATTATAAATTAAAAATATTGATAGGATGAGTATTAGAGTATTACTAATTTTTTTTCTTAAAAAATGTCAAAATATGACTTTCTTAGGTAGTTAATAAAAATGTAAGATAGGATAAGTATTAATGTATTGCTAATTTGCCACTATAAATATGTCAAAATAAGAAGGTTTTTTGGAAGTTCATTTTTTTTACAAAACCACTCGTCTTTTAGATTAGTACAAATGAAGTATATAATAAGTACAGAAGGTAACTTGAAATAATAATAATAATAACAATAATAATAATAAAAGAACAAATCATGTTAGTTTATAAACCGAGTCTCTTTATCTTGTATGTCATGTAAATGAAAATTAGTAAGTGTTAACTACAAAGTTCACTTGAAGCTACATTAATAATGATTATGGCCGGGCACATTGTTTTAAATATATATAGAAAAAAAATGTCTAATGTGTTTTAGAATTTTATTGGAATTATTATTGATAACTAAAATTTATATATGATGCCTATTTTGCACAATTTATTTGTGACATTTTTGTTCTTGATTATGTTTAATTATCATTAGAATTCATCTGAATCAGTTTCTGTTTAATTATCATTATATATGATGCCTATTTTGCACAATTTATTTGTGCCCAAACTTGCTGACCTGCTATACTTTCTAAAATATATTCATAATACACACAATGAAATATAATACTTCTGTTGTACTCTACAATATTTGTTGATTTAAAGTTATAATAATATATATTAAATAAATTTGTTTTTCAAAAAAAAGTATTATCTCTGGCTAAGAATATCGACAGTTGCTTATCCATCATTATGGTCTTGTGATTTGTGCATGTCTTTGACTTGATTTAATAGTTGAAGCCCAAAATGGTCTAGTACATAGTGATTCTCATGATTGACCATATAGCTGTCGTATAAAATTGAGCAAAGTCTCACTGATTACTGATAATTGGATTTGGTTACACGTGAACTTTTGAAATTAGCACTCGGCTTTACTAATAAGCGAAAGGAGAACAATTAATTATGAAAAAACAAAGTGCCCACCTTAAGAATTATGTTATCATATATATTCATATGTACGTGTAGACATGGCCACGGGCCGAACCGGCCCGTGGCCCGGACCGTGAACCGGTACCGAACCGGCCCGGACCGGCTCGTAACCGGCCATATTCGGGCCGGTCCGTTGGACCGAACCGTAAGAGTCGCGGTTCGGTCCAGGGTCACTGCTTTTTTTTTTTTGCACCGGCGGTTCCGGTCCGGGCCGGGCCGGTTCGCGGGTCGACCGCCGGCAACTGTGTTGTAATATTTTTTTTTTTTTTTTTAATTTTTGGCCCGCCGGGTCGATGAACCGGCGGGTTCGGGCTCAGAACCGGTCTCGGACCGCCCCTTTGTCCGGTTCGGTTCCGGGCTTCGGCCAGGCAGACCGTCGACCCGGCGGGCTGGGCCGGGCCGGGCCGGGCCCGGACTCGTTGAATGGCCACCTCTATGTACGTGTTAACGTAATAAGTTCATTTGTTAAAAATGGATTTAAACGCCCGTGTAACCGTGATCTATTTATCAATTATCAGGCATATATTGGCCACTTTAATTTTGTAAGTTACTAGATACATGATTGAAACCAACAATAACTAATAAGTAATTATGTGTAATTAATACACGATTCATTCCCCCACATTAGTGATTGGTAATTGCTCTCTAATAAATGCACCACATTAAGTGTACTCCGCAACAATTCTACTTATTATTATATCGTAACTCCCATAATCGTGTGACTATGCACGAACTTTTATCCATTTAATTTTCTTCTCTAAATTTATTAATTAATAATAATAAGTGTTCCTCCAGAAACAATATATAGTCCCAATATATCTGATCATTTCTGATTATGTTACTTGAACAAAACTTCATTTTAATATTTTTCTATTTGTGAAAAAAGAAAATGATCTACCCAGCAGGACATAAGTTGGAGATCCAGAATGAAGTGTACAATCCATTCTTAGAAGAGCAGACTTCTTTCGGGTAATTTAGTTGCAGATCTTATATTTTTAAAGTGATTATTACATACAACTATATATTTTACATGCAATCATTTCTATTATAGATGTGTGTATGTGAACATGGTTACCATGCAAGATTCTTTTTTAATGATTTTTTTTTTTCTTGAATATATATAGAGATACTTTTAATGGGGAGAATATAAAAGTATGTAATAATTATAGAATAACTCAAGTGAAGTGAAAAATATAGCAACAACTAAATTCTTAATCCCAATATGTGGCAAATGATAATATATGTTCACTCAAAATATAATCAACTTTTAACTAATTTGTTGTTTTTTTGCAGGCCATACCAGCAACAATATGCAAGCCCAGAAAGCTTCAACTTAGGTTTCCCTATTTCGCTCGAATTCGAGCCATTCCCAATCTCTCATCAAACAAACGTCACTCCGGAAGTTGAATTCAACACTTTCGAAGACATTTCCGCTTATTTGGGCATGTGGGATTTCGACCAACCTCAATTTTACAACAACGTTGCGAATAACCCTACTCCAATCACCGGCATGCAAAACGACTACACAACTACTATCGTTCAAAACCCTAATTACTATGGTACTATGATGTTTGAACATCCAACGGTGGACATGGCTTGTCAAGGGGAACTATTGAGTTTTGATGTGAACGAGGATGATGCCAAGAGAATCGGGAAGTACAACAAGTCGTCCGCACTACAATTGGAGGAGATTCAAAAGTACTTTGATGTCCCGATAACTAGGGCTGCAAAAGAACTGAACGTTGGGCTAACCGTTTTGAAAAAACGATGTAGAGAATTGAATATCATGAGATGGCCCCATAGAAAGATCAAGAGCCTCAAGTCACTTATCCATAATGTCAAGGTAATATGATGATGAATAAGATCTTAATCTTTATGCATGTATATGTACTAAAAATTGTGCTTTCTTTTTTGTTATAGGAGTTGGGGATGACGAACGAGATTGAGATGTTGGAGGAACACAAAAGAATGGTGGAAAAGATACCAGAAATGGAGTTGACAGAGAGAACTAAGAGATTGAGGCAAGCTTGTTTCAAGGCCAACTACAAAAGGAGAAGGTCCATGCAGCAAGCAGGCGCTTATGATCTTGCTTAAGTTAATTATTAGCTAATATTAGTTTATTTTGGTTTAGTTAAATAGCCTTTGAAAGATGATCAATATCTTATTAGTCTATTGTCTTCTTTCTATCTAGTATATTGCTTGCATGACAATGGAGTAGTAACTATTATCTATGCATTTGGTTTTTAGTATTTAATTGATATGAATATAAGTTCTCACATTAACCAAAATGAGCATATTTTTACAATTTAGAGTATGATCTTTTCATCCTCAATATAATACACAAATCGTAACTCCAAATTTTTTCAATCTCATCTACGCTTAATCTTCTTTGAATTTCCCATTAATTTCCTGAATTCCTCAGCATCCTCCTTGCTTGCAATTTTGGCGCTCCTCCTCTCTTCCTTCTCGATATCACGAAAATTAGCTTCCATGCTGATGTCAGCGCCCACGTCATCATTCTTGTACTTGGTCGGATCATAACCGAACATCCTCCGTATAATACCAATGGCTTCTTCACAACTCTCTTCTTTCTTGGAACAATTTCTCGCTTGAATCTTCGGACGCCGGATTATTTCCTTCTTTATCTTAGGCCTGGGAAGAACTACTTCACAATCTTTCCTCGAAATTTCTCCAAGGGGACTTTTTGCTGAAATTCGCTTTTTGTCGGGCCCGGAATTTTTTGTCTCTTTCGGGATCTCCGAAGGAACCGGCCTGGAATTATGATTCTCGGGCCCTGATAAAAACGAGTAATCCCGACTTTCTTTCAGCCAACTCACTTTCTTCTCCCTTTCTATTTTGTCCAAAATCTTCGGCACCTTTTCGGGTGTATTAGCAGCAAACAGCTTCTCGTCTCCGAAGAATTTGTTCAGACGTTTGGGGGATTGTAACCAGTGTTTGGCTTCTTCGACTACCCTGGCAGCAATCACGGGCTCTGAAGGCCCGAAAAGGCGTCCGTAGTTGTCTGAAGCTGGAGCGACGGCCTGTGACGTGGCACCAGCGACGGCGTGATGATTTTCTTTCCTGAGACGGGCTCTGTACACCTCTTTTAGCTGTTGCCTCAGAGCAAGGCCCATCTGCAGATTTTGTGATGAAGAAAGTGACTGCATCTTTAGATTTTGTGATGATTATTGACAGAAATTATAGGAATGGGTTTCGGGGAATTCAAAGTTGTATATGTAGAAGAAATATATACTTGCTGAACAAGGAAATATTATTGTTATGTTTCCTGATCGGACTAGGATTAAACAACTTATCGAATAATTTTATATTCTTAACACGTAAATAATTAATTAATTAATAATAATATAATAAAGTAAACCGCTAAAATTGCAAAATGATAATAATAATAATGATCGAAAATAGAATTACACTAGTAGATAATATTTTGACGGGTCCGGCTCGCTTTACATTTGGGTGTAGATCTATTTTGAGATTAAATATATGTATATATGTAATTGATACATTGTGTTATTATATTGTTTAGTCAAATTAAGTGATTAAAATATTGTATAGAAAAATTAGGGTGTGTTTGTATATGGAAAAACTTATTTCATATTCAATTCAAACTTAAAATCTAATTTTAACCCAAATCAACTACCCTCAATATTATTCATATAGTTAAATAATAACAACCAATCATTCTTATATTTCACATCAACTTTAATTTACAATTTATATACTCACATAATTTTAACTAATCATCAATTCGCATAATCTCTCTCATATTTTTACATCAAATTACCTCTAATTATTTTACTTTAAATATTATTTTAATATAAAAGCAAAATTCCACTAACCATACCATTTTTTTCAAAGTTAACCCTGGTTAACCAAAAAAACTCATTTTGAGCAGATATATTTGTATACAAACACGCCCTTAGTGAAGGATGACCAGGAAAATATTTGGCCTTCAAAACTCTAGATAACAACGAAGAAAGGTTTTTAAGGAGCCGCCGCGCGTGCTTGCTAACCATAACAATATTGAAGGCTTTGAGATCTCAAAAACTCCCATCAATTTTAACCTGGCACAAAGCAGTCCACGAGACCCAATGGATTTTTCGTTGTTGAGAGTGATCATCCCAAAAATAGCTACTCGTCATAGTTTATAGCTCATGGATGACTTGATCATTTAGAAGAAAACACGACATGGTGCAGTATTTTGGAAGGTCGTCAAGTCTTGGATTTAGGATGTTGAAAGATAATTCGTAATGGTTGTAGTACTAGCATCTGGTTTGATAAACGGATACCTTTGTAGCCTCACTTTTGTTTATCCTCGGCTCCTTCATCCTTGTCTAAATCCGCTACGGTTGATACCCTTATTGTTGAACATTCAGGCAAGTGGAATGTGCCTTTGGTGCGGTCTAGTTTTCTGAACATTGAAGTTCATGTTATTCTTTCCTTAGCTCTGCCTCAAAATCATTCTGAAGACAGATGGATTTGACATTTCTCCAAGAACGATAAATTTTCTGTTCGTTCTGCATATTTTCAGCTTATGAATTCTCCTATTTATGCTGCGCACTTGGCTTCGGCAACACCTTAACCGTTGGGAGTCTGTGATCATGTTTAGCTTATGATTTGGAATCTAAAGCTGCACCCCNCCCAAAACGCACCTTTTCATTTGGCGTTTGTACCTTAATGCATAGCCAACCCCGGATAATCTAGCTCGCCGAAACGTTATAATTGATGGAACCTGCCCTTTTTGCTCATCTGTTGCATCTATCAGCATGCATACCTTCTTTAACTGCAGTTTTACTCTCTAGGTGTTACGCATTGTTGGCCTTCTTGTTCTTGTTTGACAGCTTCAGAAAGCAACATGTGAAACTTATGAAGAGTCCACTTATAGGATGGAGTGTGGCAAGCTAGGAATGGGGTTATTTTCAAACAGAAATTGTTCAGGTCGTGGAATATCATGCTGAATGCAAGTCGGATCGTGGTTTAATTCGCTTCACATTCTTCAAATCCTGAGATGTCTGATCACTCTTGTCTCATCTCCCTACCTCTGATAACCCTTCCAATGATGCAACCAGAATTTATTTTGATGGCTCAATCTCCCCCAATCGTGTATGTGGTGGTTGAGGCGTCTTTTCCCGTTCTGCCTATGGAGATTTCTTACAAGCTCTGTCACGCGGTTTTGCTGGAATTGTTGATTGAGATTTAGCTGGGGCTTTGGCGTTGCGGGAAGCGATTCTCTTGGCTCAGAGATTAAATGTTCCGAATGTGGTTGTCATGGGGAATTCTTTCTTGATTGTTCAAGATGCATTTTGTTTGATCGATGCCCCTTCGAGTTGTTCGCAAATTATAGATGATATAGTTACATGTTTATCTCATTTGCCTTATGTTACATTATTTTGGATTCCACATTCGAACAATGTCGTTGCTCATTCACTAACTAGATACGCAATTCACTCCACTTTTGCTATTTTTGTATGGAGTGATCCTCCAAGAATGCAAGTTTGTTTCTTCCAAGAAAAAAATAGCTAAGGAACTTAATTTAAATTATGGAATGATTAAATATTGATACCCGGTAAATTATTGACGTAACAAATAATTATACTAAACGTAAGTGATCTAATTAGCACATAATTTGGGTCAAAATTATTAATGGGTGTGGTCCTCAAAAGCCGTGATAAATACAAAGGGGCCCTTGGAAATCTTCATTAAGAAATAATAAAAAGAAAACAGTAACCCCCAATCTCTTCATAAGTTTCTTCGTTACGTCAAAAGAGAAAAAGAATAGTTCACGATCTTTTAGAAGTTCTCAATCCAATCAATCGAGATGAAACCATCAGGTACGCTTCTGCTACTCAATTTTTATTCTTAATTATAAACACCTAAAAATGGCTTTTGATTATTAATTATAAATTTATAATAACTGAAATTCCTTATTTTGACATATCACACTTTAAAGAGTTATAAACACCTAAAAATGGCTTGAATTTGCAATTCCTACACAAAAAGAATATGTATACCACTACCTCAAAAAATAAAGAAGAGTACTTTTGCCTCCACCAATATAAATAGAGAGTGATTTTGTTATCTCACAAGTCGCCTTCTCGAACAGTTGGACCAAAAATTGACAAACTCTTTGAATCTTTCCTTCATTTACCCTTCTTTTTCTTTCCCTCTGTATTCATCTGTGTGAGTCTCTATACTCTTTTCTTTTGTTAAAATATTTTGTTAAATATGTTATTATATTAAGCTTATTTATTGGGCTCATAATTAGTATTTTTTTATTTTTAGTTTTAGCAATATGGGCTAGTACTAGATTTTTGCCAATGTCGGCCTACGCCCACACTAGTCCTAATAAGGCTACGTCCCTTGCTGGGCCTTGGCTCAACGCCGGTCCTCTCTTAACGAGAACGTGCATGCGAGAGACAATGATAGGCCAACGTAGAGCCTGTCCAGGACTAGTGACAGACCCAAGAATTCCACTTCGGGAGGCCCGATCCTAATGTTAAGTAATTAGTTTATAGTTTAAATTGTAACACTCATTTTAGTTAAGATAGTGTTTACTTATAGAATCCTTATCATCAAGAACATTTAAAATAAAAACACAAAAAAATCATGAGATTTTATTATTTAATGATTTATTTATTTTTTTTGTTGAAAAAATCACTTTCATCGATTTTTTATAGCATTACATGTTTTTAGTTGATGAAAACTTATTAAATGAAGATTTTTCTTATAACCTAATAGAGTTAAAAAAAATAAGTAAAAAAACTAACAATCACATCAGTTGATCCGTCGCTTTTAATTACGTCGGTAGAATCTCCCTCACCGGCCGTCCGGGTCCGTCGGTGGACGGCCTCTGTCGCTCGTCCGTGGTGGTGCCGCCATCGTCCCATCAGCTGTTGCTCCGTCCTGGGTGGTGTGTCGGACATCGGAGGTGCTCCTCCTCCATTGTTTGGTTGTCGGCATCCAGGTTCAGACGGCGATGGTCGTGGTGTGGTGCTGGTTCATGAACGAGGTTGGGTCCACTGTATTCGGCTTTCGTTGGGATGCGGCTTCACCGCCCTGCTTGCCTTTCTCGCCGCTGGTCAGGACTTGCCCTTTTTGCCGGCGAAGCGGCGATTGGCAGAGGCCTCTTCTAATTCGACACCCGGCTGTGTCTATTGAAGGTTTGCTCTTGCTATTGCTGCTTTTGTCTCAGTTTTATTTTCTGTCTAAGATCGGAGAGAACCCTTGGTTCATTCTCGGCGAGCTGGATACGGGTAGACATGGCCAAAGGGCCGCCCGGCCCGTCGAACCAGCCCTGACCCAGCACGGATGCGGCCCGGACCCAGCCCGGTCAAACTCGTTGACCACGGGTCCGAGACCAACCCGGATTTCATACAGGCCGTGTAAGGGCCATCCAATTCATAACTCGGCCTGGACGGCCGGGTCGATGACCCTTTTTTCTTATTCTTTTTTTTTTTATTTTTTTCTATTATTTTTTCAAAAAAGCTCGGACCCGGCCCGGACACGACCCAACCCGGACACGACCCAACCCAGACACGACCCGGCCCGGACATGAACCCGGTACGAGTATAGGTTCGTGCCGGTTCAGGGTCCGGGTTTTTTAGCTCCGCGGGCCGGGCCGGGCCATGACCCGACCCGGGTTTTGGCCATGTCTAGATTCGGGGTTCATGGTTGGGGGCCTTCGTTACTGTTGGGGCGCGAATGATGCTTCCAGTTAGTGTTCGGCTGCCGGTTGTGTTCAGTCGATTCGGGCTGGGTTGTGTGGTCGATGTTTCAGGAGGGCTAACTCGGTGAAGCCGAGTCGTGTTTGGCTTATTCACGTGATTAGAGTACGGGTCAAATCTCTAATTGGTACTGGGGTGCGGGTACCCGTCTTGCTAGGCCTTCTACAGTGGCGGGCAGTCGTTTCCGTGCTCTGGAGCTATCTTTGGAGTTGGTTTGTCTGCCGTAAATCTAGATGTATCTGGCGATGGAGGCTGTGCCATCCTTTATATATTTTTGTTTTAGTTACTTGGTCTGTGTTTTTGTTTGTTATTTATTTTAGGATTGTGTTTTGGTCTAGGCCGTTGGCCTCTGTGAACCTGTGTGAACCCGAGTGTCACCTTATTATCTTGTTGGGATTCAGACACTCGGGTATTACTCTATTGGGGTCTTTTTTTTAGTTGTGTTAATTTTTGTTAGTTGTTAGTGTAGTTGCGAGTTTGTTATTCTAGCGTTGCTAGACAGTTCTAGGCGATCTTCGGATCTGCCTTCCAGTTTTAAAGTCTCTTGTTGTACTATTCAGCCTTTGACTGCTTTCTTTTCGTATTTTGTGCGGTTTTATTAATATAGTACCTCTATCGTTTCGAAAAAAAAAACAAATTCAAAAATCCAACTAAATAATTAGTTAGAGAATTAATAAAATCGATATATAATTACAAGGCTAAATTTAAAGTAATAAGTATAAATATTTTAATAATTTGAAAAATTGTGAAAATATAAGAATTTTTAAGTATACTTTATAATAAATAAATAAATAATAGTATCACTTTGGGTGTTGAGGTTGGTTGATGAAGATCGTGTATCGAGACTCGATTTTTGTTAGGAACCCGCGCTAACGGCCTTGGTTCAAACACGATAAAAGTGAAAACCCGCACTAACGGCCGTCGGTTTAACACGAGGATTTCGCTCGGAAACGAGCATTTTTGCTATTTGTTATTTCATTAAACTTCTTTTTTCTACAATATAATGAGTACATGAATATTTATCGCCTATATCTAATTATTCAAATATTCAAAATATAACTACCATATAACTAACACACTTAAACTACATATTTAAAATTTAAACAAATAAACTAACACTATTTATCCAAATGCATGGTAATTCCCACTCGAAATCCAAACTACCTTACTTCCGAGTCCGGTTCGCATCATTGGTCCATAGCAATAGTTGCTTCGAAACCCATGAATATGATGATATGCTAAGTTCTTAGATTCTAGATTTTAGTATTCTCTTAGAACCATAGTTCTATCGGACCAAACTGGCCTTGTCGACCAAGAACCGGTCCCCTTACTGGTTTGATTCTCTTGAGAATTCTGGTTGCAAAATAATCGGTCTTTGACCAGTTGAACCAATCAAAATCGGTAAGAACTGGTCAAAAACCGGTAGGTCGGATTGGATCTTGTTTTTCTTTTTCATTTTCCTTATAATTAGTTTTAATATTTTAATACACATTTTAGATATAAATAAAAGGATATATAAATACTTTTAATATGTATAATTACTATATCAACTAGCTAATAAATTGAATGTTTCCAATTATATATAAAAAAATAAAAAAAAAATAGAAGATGTTTTCATATATAAAATATAATACTCAATATATTATGTGTATTTAAAAATATTAATAAGCTAAATTTCAGTCCAATCGATCAGTAAATTATAGAACCAATTAATTGACCGTTAGATGAACGGTTCGATTTTCAGAACCTTACTTAGTGCTTCTTCAATGCGAAAGTGCATTGCTTCTTATATGCATTTTTATGGCAAACTAAATGGCTAATCTATAGTAATATAAAGAGGTTGTTGGAAAAATACTTTTATTGTAAGTTTGACTAAAAAAATAAATAGTTTGACTTACTATTAATGGAAATTTCGAAAAAAACACATGTACCAAAAAAATTGAGATTTTTATAGTAACAAATTTAAAGATTTTAATGGTAACAAATTTAATTGAGTATCCCAAAAAAATTGGAGATTTTTATAGTAACAAATTTGGAGATTCCTATACCAAAATTTAATTCATTTTAAATATTAATCCATAGGAATCTACTTTTTATTGGTAACAATTTTAAAGATTGTTATGCCAAAAAATTGAGATTTTGAATTGAGATATTCCAACAATTACGGATTTTTTTCCTATTCAAATTAATGTTGTAAATCAAACAAAAAATTATTTCAAAAATAATGGATGTTATACCAACTATTGATAAACTCCAATCCCATAGGAGATTTCTAAGGGATTCTTATGGTAACAAATTGAGATTCTTATGCCAAAAAATTGAGATTTTGAATTGAGATATCCTAACAATTTCGGATTTTTTCCCCTTCAAATTCATGATGTAAATCAAGCAAAAAATTATTCCGAGAATAATGGATGTTATACTAAATATTGATAAAGTCCAATCCATAGGAGATTTTTATGGGTTTCTTATGGTAACAAATTGAAGATTCTTATGGTAACAAATTTGGAGATTCTTATACCAAAATTTAATACATTTTAAATATTAATCCCATAGGAATCTATTTTTATTAGTAACAAATTTGAAAATTCTTATGCCAAAAAATTGAGATTTTGAATTGAGATATCTCAACAATTACGGATTTTTTTTCCATTCAAATTAATGTTGTAAATCAAACAAATAATTATTCTAAGATAATGGATGCTACACTAAATTAATATCACTGGGCCCACACGTTAATATGATATTAATTAGATAGATAAATTACATAAATCTTTCCTAACAAAATGCGTTCCAATATTGTTAACCAATTTAATGGGATTTTCTTAACTAATTTGATAGGATTTTGGTAACCACGGGATTTTGTTAGTTTTTCGTGGAAACACGAATCTTCATTATTGATAAGGTTTGATAAGATTTTGTTTCCAATTTTTTTTTTTCCTCGCTCAAAAATTTGATAAGGTTTGATAAGATTTTGTTTCCTTTTTTTTCTCTCTCTCGAAAATTTGAGTCGTGGATTTGAAAAAAATAAATAAATAAAATAAACATATCATATTGATAAAGTTTTAGTGTGGGCATAAAAATCAATTTTGATTTGATTGAACTTTGTTTCATATAAACCTAAGAGAATCAGACGTTTGAAAAAATAAAATATTAATAGTAAATAATCATACCATATTTGTAA